TGGCACGTTGATTCCTATGACAAATTAAAGCCCTATGGCATTTGCATAAATGGATGCATATAGATGGGTTTTCCCGCAAAATCATCTGGTTGAAAGCGGCATACACAAGCAGTGACCCACATGTCATAGGAGGCTACTTTGTAGAGGCGATGGAGCAGACTGGTGGTTGTCCTCGGATCATCCGGACAGATCTGGGAACTGAAAATGTGGTTGTACGAGACATCCAAACCTTCCTCCGTCGCCATGACAATGACAACAGATCAGGTGATAGGAGCTATATTGCTGGAACCAGTAGGCTTCTTCATATCAAAGAATTGAGAGTTGGTGGGGGATCCTGCGCAAGGAAGGAATGGAGTACTGGATACAATTCTTGGGCGAAATGAAAGACGAAGATCTGTTTGTTGGTGACTTCCTGGACAAATATCTTGTACAGCTGAGTTTTCGGAACGTTATTCAGGTGAGTTTGAAGAAATCCTATGGCTTATAGCCAGAGATGGGGTCGTTACTAAAAAAAAGTAATATATTACATATTACATATTACTTAAAAAAAAAGTAATATATTACACTACTTCGTTACTCTCTACATAAAGTAACTCGTTACTTTACTCGTTACTTTACTGGTAAAGGCCCGCCCCTCCCTACAGGCAGATCACGCAGACTGCTAAAGTTTCAAATGTTCTCTTTAGTTCAGTTTCCATTGTCGCATAAGACTGATCCAGATAGCTCTGACCATGGCTGTCCTCTGTCTCCTGCTATCTGTATTTTGCGCAGTATATCTCTGAACGATGCGATGGTGATTCCACTGTGCAAATGGGCAACATTACCTCTACTATGAAGGATGCTACAAGCCTGTCCATCTCTGCTTTGGTTACCGGTAATTTTTGCTGCTTCGGAGTCGGCGGCGGCGCATTCACAACATCCTCACTCTGGGTTTGGGGGTCCTTAGCTATTAGCTTCACCTTAGCATGTGTTCTTTGCAGGTGTTTGTTGAGGTTTGACGTGGTGTTTGCAGCAGTGGATAACAGCTTCTGGTCTGGACACAGTTTGCACCTCACCGTCACATTCCTGTCTATTCTTCGGACGAACTCAAAATAATGGGCATACCTCCACCCCTCGAAAGTTATCGCTGACTCAGCCATGTTTATGCAGCACTGCACGTGGAGATGTGGACGCGCAGATTACGTACATATAAACCTGCGGCGGAAACCCCTCTTGTATGTCAGTGTGATTATGACTGATTTTATAAAAGTAACGAAGTAACGCGTGTCGGGGCAATGTTAGTAACTGTAGTGTGATTACTGAATTATAAAAGTAACGCGTTACACTACTCCGTTACCGACAAAAGTAATATTATTACAGTAACGCATTACACCCAACTCTGCTTATAGCTTATGATACCTCCATGCTGTAGTCCGGGAAAATGTGTATGTTGCATCCGTGGAAAGAGAGCGGACAGGCCTCCCTCGCCAGCTTCAGTATGCGCTCTTTGGTCTGGAAGTTGTGGATCCGAGCGATGAAAGAGCGCGGGGTGTCGCTCTGCGTCTTGCGGGCAGTAGCTACTTTGTGCGCCCGGTCGACCGCAAGGGGGGGAAGGAAAGGCTTCGGCACCAAACGTTTCTGCCAGAAACAACTCCATAAAGGCGGTCGGCTGTGGGCCCTCAACTTTTTCAGGTACGCCAGTTATGCGGATATTATTGTGTCTCGATCTGTTTTCCAGGTCGTCCCCCTTAAACTTGAGGCTCTCATTTTCCCTGGATAGGGCTGTGCAGGTGGATTCGACAGTTTGCAGTCTGGCCTCCATGCCGTTGAGTGCCACTTCCATGCCTTGGATTGTTTGGTCGTGCCGGTCAATGGGGGCGCGGTCAGCTGAGAGTTGGACGGACAGTTTTGAAATAATGCGCTCCTGCATTGAGAGGAAAAGTTTCTCCATGTCAGCTAGCGTTAGCGGAGCGTGGTTAGCTGCATGTTCCTCATTTTGGCTAGCTCCCATGCGGTCCCCTGTGTCACTCTCATAAGATTTGTCGTCTGCAGGCTGACTTTGCTTCTTAGTAGGTTTCCCCATATTCGTTTATCTTTTAGACACGTTTGCACACGTTAGTTGTCGTAATTAAGTGAGTATAGTGTAATATTAGACAGGATTTCAACAGAGCTCTCCTGGGGTGCGACCTACTCCTCCATTAGTCAAACCGGAAGTCACAGTATGTTATTTTAAGTCACTTCGGATAAAAGCGTCGGCAACATGTAATCAGGGCTTCCCCTCCCTACACGCTAGGGATGTGCATCTCCATCACTGAGGCCGATGCGATGCACATCTCGATACGTTGCCAACGATACAATACATTAACGATACATTTGAAACACTAGGCGATGCGATACGATACGATTCACCCCTGTTGCGATACAGTTCGATACGATTTGATTCAACATTATGCAATTCGGGGCGATACGATGCGATTCAACACGATGCAAAATAATGATACAATTCAATATGGTACGACAGAGGATTTTTGTTTTATTCCTTATATGCAGCAAATCATACATTAACAAAAAAGTGCTTTACATATTTGGTTCTCTCTACTAGTCATGCTGTTTCTTTTTTTTTTTACCTTAAAAAACTCCAGAGTACAGTACAATGTTATAACACCTCACAGTTAAACAATTTAAGGATGCATTGCCTATGATTAACAATGTGCAAATAACAACTACCATAGTGCAATGCCCATACAGCTGCCAGCCTGATGTGCTTAACACTCATTCATAGGCTAACTCACCAGTGAGCAGAAAGCAGTGGTGTGAACAATAAAAAATAAAAATAACCTTTCACAAACAGGTATTTCATAACTGCTTACAATTGTAAGGAAGACATTTAAACTATTATTGGCAGTCACAGGCTGTTGTAAACTAAACACCACTCTCACTGACATAACACCTGTGTTGTGAGTGATTGAACTCATATGTCTAACTTTCAGGTTTCTCTTTTCAGCCGCAGACCCCATGTCGCCTCTTTATGTGCGTCGCTAAGTTCCTCGTACTACTTGTGTACTTTAAAGCGGCACGGCATCGTTTACAATTTGCGAGCGATCTTTCAAGTTGACCGTCTTTCTTGAAAAATCCGAAGTATTGCCAAATGTTTGATTTGTAGGTATTTTTCGGTGCGCTGTGTTTCTCTTTCTCCTCGACTTCCATGTGTGTTGATAACTGAGACTCTCGGCCTCCGTAGTGCGAAGCAAAGATCAAAGATCGTCTCTGCGGAGTGCTGACAGGATGAGAGGATATTATATGAATGAATCGGTTTTTTACCGATGCTACAATCGATGCATCGCGAGTTCAACCCAAACTGTAGCCGATGTGCACTCTTTCAACCGGTGCACTCGCATCTTGAACATTTATGCCGGTGTACCGATGCGACTCGGTGAATCTTAACATCCCTACTACACGCAGATCACGCAGAGTGCGTGGGGCCTCATCTTGCGCAGGGGGCCACTTCTTATGCGCAAATGCGGCACAATTATGCGCGCCACGGGTTCCCCGCAGCGAGGCTCCGGCGGCAACAGTTCACGAGCGTACTCTACCACCAAACAACACCGAACAATGGTGCTTCTTAAATCACATTAAGCTGTTCAAGCATAGATTTCACAGCATGAGTCCAGCCCAGAAATGTTTATAGGCATATAAAGTATAATTAAGCAATAGCTCACGACAGGCCGTGGTATATGGCCATTATATCACAGTTAAGGGGCGTGGTTCGGCCCGACGCGAAACGCGCGGGTTACTTGTATAGGTTAAGGTTGTTCTAGGCTGTTGCTTGGCGTGGCGAGAATATTGCTCCACTTTCTCCGGTCCCCGAGATTCGGCTTCCAGTAGCTCTGGAGAGAGCTTTCGCACCTGTGGCCACTAACGGTCATCATTTCTCTGCTTTGTTTCAAGACCCGCATCAGAAAACTTTTGAATGGTGATACTTTTCCAGTTGGTCTACCTGCTCTTCACGTAGCTCTGCATGTCGTCGTTTAGGTGCTTTTTGTTCTGGAGATAGGCACTCCTCAATCCACTCCTCCATAGTAAGACCCCCCCCCCCCCCCCCCCCCCCCCCCCCCCCCCCCCCCCGGAGGTCGAAGTTAATCTTAAATGTTTTTGCGGACCTTTTTGATTACAGATTTGAAAACATTGTTGCTTGCTTTAAAAGTAGCACAATTCATTATGTCAAACCTTGGAAAGTATCTAAAAGCCCTAATGCCAAAGGAACTGCACACTGAATATGTTTTTGCCGTTTGATGTCTATGTCTGGACCGTTGCGTAAAAAGGAGGGTTTCTGCCCCGTTACTTCTCCGCTGCTTTCTTGTTCCAGTTTGAAAAGCAAACTGCAGGCAGTTTGCTTTTCAGCCCAACTGTATACTGTTTATCTCAGGCGCGGAGGGATACTGACTTGTTGTGAAAAGTAACTTACAATTCTAACCGTGGTATACGCTCAGTATACCACGGCAGATTGCTTGATTTGACTTGTCCGTTTTATAATTACCTTCATTCAATGCAAGATCAACATGATCAACAAGATCAACATCCACCTCAGTTTCCTCATTACAGAGCTCAATAATTAATGCGTGGCCACGCATTATTAATTTGCATTCATATTTTTCTCACCAATGTCACCAGGGGGGCTCCGTAGAATATTTCGATTAAAGGTGGGGTAGGTAATTCACTTCAGAAACACTTTTTGTTATATTCCATGGAATGCTCTTAACATCCCGATAGCAATGAATATATTAAATGCTTTGACAATAAATACATAAAAATAATTCATCTGTGGAAGCCGTGCCGCTGTAAAAAGTCAGTTACACTGCTCTCATGTAACTATCTCTCCCTATGTGTATCGACCTGTTTATTTTGGTGCAGGGAAATCCCGTGTTACCACAGGTGAAGTTATGTAAGGGAACATCCCATCCTGAAAGAAGCAGCATGAGGCGTTTACAGGTTAAATACAAAGACTGGGGCGTCTTTTCTCATACTTGCTCCTCCACCCAGACCCAACACTTCCCTTCCTGGCTGGTAAGGTAAGCTTTAGATCTTTTTTTGTAGTTAACATGTCAGGTAACAATTAAGGAAACGGTTTTCATTTTCTCAAACAGTTTAGCAACTCAAGGTATTATCAACGTTTTCTGGCCAGATCCTACTGTGTATTACTATACTACAAAGGTATAAGGTGCATGCACTCTTTCTGTCTCGGTACAATGGCTTATTTACCTCAGTGACTTATGTATTTTATTGTAAATGTAGTTTTTCACTCTCTATTATTCTTTATATGATAGAATGAAACGTCATTAAGGTAACAGCTAATCAATAAACAACAAAACACAACATATCAAATAGGAAACGGCAGGTAACACACAAAAGTTGCAATAAGAAAATGTTAAAGACGAATCAAATAGAAAATAGTTCAAAACAACTGAAAATTAAATTACAATCCTTTGTAGTTTGTCTTGTCCACATTTCCAGAGTGCATGTGCATGTGCATGTGCACCTGCGCACCAGTTATGTGCAGCCCTGTCTATAACCCCTAAAAGACCGCGTAGTAGTGTGACTAAAGAAAGTTTAGTTGCCATAAGAAAATGTTAAAGACGAATAAAAGTCCAGTTAAAAACAACTGAAAATCAAATTACAATCCTTTGTAGTTTGTCTTGTCCACATTTCCAGAGCCAAGGTTGAGCTTATTAACCATTGTAAAGTTGGAGTACTTGTTAATGGGTATTTTGGAGGGGTCCATTAAATAATGGCTCACTTTTTGCTTCAACGATCATTGCTGTTCACTTGATGCACATTGTGATGGCTCTATAACCCCTAAAAGCCTGCGTAGTAGTGTGACTAAAGACAATGGGTTTTACTATAACTGATTTTCCTAAAGATACTCATTAGATTGCATGCCAACCTATTATCTGCTCTGAGTCTCTTTGTGTGGTTATGTGTCGCTAACGTCTCCATGATAACCAAAGTGAGAAGATGTGGCAATATCTGTAAAAACAAGCTACTGTACTATAAGCCATCAGGTTCGGGCACTTCGGGCAGGTTCTGTGTTCGAGGATTGACTCCATACTCTCTCTTTCTCGTCTCAATGCTCATTGGATTTCACTTCCGCCGCTGAAGAGAAAGGGATGATAGTCAGGAGACGAGGCCTCCTTTTATACGGGGAGATGCGCCTAGGCCGGCTGCGTCTATAGAAGTCTCAGTAGGAGAATGCTCGCAGGATAAGGTAATACCCATAGAGTCCAGTAGAGGGCGGAGCCTGTGAGAGATATAACGGGAATTTATGTCAAAGAAATATCAGACCTTAGCATAAATAAAAGTTATTGTATGCTATTTGTGTCATGTAGAACCTGCATTCATACTGACTTTTTAACATCCTATTTACTTATTTGATACCCGCCATGTAGATAGCAACTACTTTTTTTAACGTCCCGACGCGAGAGCTTACCTTTAGAATTTTAGGTTAAAAAGCAATGAAGATATTGGATACATGTACTTTAAAGGATACAGGTGACTGCAACCTCTTGACTAACCCTAAGCAAAGTAGCGTTATCCTAACCCTTTCAATATAAACTTTTTAAACGTGGTCGGTAAGAACTGTTGTGTTGTTGTTATAGCCCATCCCACAACCAGTGAACAAAAAGAAAAAAGGACCAGGGGATAAAAACAATTTCCGTTTCAAAGATGGAAACTTTACAAGGGGGGGACCTCAGCAAGAGACTCTGAGGGGCTTGGGTGGCAGCCAACTGCTGGCCATTCAATGACAAAAGTGATGCTTAGAACCCTAATAACTGTACATTTAAGGCCAAATCCAAGTGAAGTCCAAACACCTGTGGATTAAATTGAACATTTGCATGCTAATTATTTGTTGTATTTCTCCATATATTATGTTCGTTGTAATTATTTAAATCTGATGTTTGTATCATCCACATGCCCATGGTTATAGTGGGAACAGGGTCATTTAAACAGTTCTGGATGATGGTCGAGATGTTAACACTTCCTGTAGTACTGATAACCTTGAAATTCTCCCTTTTCTGAACAGAGTTCAAACACTGCAGCAATGCCTTCGCCAGGTGTGTGTGTGAACATCATCAACGCCCGTCACCTGAAAGATGATAATGGGATCGTCACTAACCCTCAGAAGTTTCTGGACCAAGACTTTGAGCAGCTGAAACAGTACTGTATGATTAAACGGGTAAGGTACATCGACGGCATGTTCCCCCCTGACGCGAGGTCCATCGGGCCTGGGGTACTGACCCCTTCTAAGCTGAATAAAGTGGTGTGGCTGAGACCATATGTGAGTGTTTCAGTGTTCAATTTCAAATCACATGTTTCTTTTGCTACTTCAACTCTGTTGATCTGTCACTTGTTTAATGTTGATCCTTGTTAATGTTGGGATGGAAGGAACACTTAACTTGTGTTAGCTCTTGTGGTAGTGGTTTTCTGACAAGCTAAGACTTAACAAGTATGGTCAATTCCTCTCTTTCAGAAAATGGTTCGCAATCCTTGTTTTGAAGTTGATGGGGTCTCCAGGTTTGACTTTGGTCAAGGCATACTTGGTATGGCAATTGATTGATTTATAACAATCCATAAATAGTTTTTCCAGCAATGTAATTTTGTGATGCAAGTGCAGACAATTGACAGGAAACAGAATAAAGCAGGGCGGTGGAAAATGTGTACCAGTATGTTGAAGCCCTCTTGGTTGTTAGTACTCTCAATAGTCACTTTGTTTCCCTCTCAGGAAACTGCTGGTTTCTTGCATCAATCGGAGCTCTGACGTTCCAGCCCTCCATCCTTAAGCAGGTCGTTCCTCTTGAACAGAGATTTGACGAGGAGTACTGCGGGATATTCCACTTCAGGGTAAACCAACAATCTTGGCAGCAATTCTTCTAAAATGGTTCACATCTCATATTGCTATTACATTCTTTATTTCATCTCCTTTCACAACTACTCAGTTCTGGAGGTTTGGAAGATGGGTTGATGTTGTCATTGATGACAAACTACCAACTATTGATGGCAGACTGGTCTTTGTTCACTCCAACGACCCAACTGAGTTCTGGCCTGCTTTGATGGAGAAAGCCTATGCCAAGTATGAAAAAAAAAAAATGTCTTGAGATTTTTGTTGTTTTGTATCGGTGCAATTAATTTTACACCAACTTCTGTCAGAGTGTGCGGTTCCTACTCGGACATGAATGCCGGAACTCCTGCCGAGGCTTTAGTGGACTTCACCGGTGGAGTTCACATGTGTATTGATCTGACAAAATCTCCCCCAACTCTGTGGGAGTTGATGGGCAGAGCTGTCCAATCCAAGTCACTGATGGGCTGTGGTACACCTCAGGGGGTAAGTATGAATATACCACAAGTAACACCGACTAGCTCATTTTGCTTTTAAGTGCTGAAACCCCAATACAGCATCTTAAGGCTACAATTATATTAGCCAAGTACATGGTTAGTTTGCCAAAGTTAGAAAGATCATTTCAGTATCTTTTTGGCTTCTAACGTTTATTTGTCATAGCAGAAAACAAAAAGCACTACGATGGCATGGTACAATTCACTTACGTTTTGTCGATAACTCCCTGTTCATACATGTACATGGACGAAAGACTGCCAAGAAGAACATTAGTATATTTAAGCTATATTTTAATTCCATTTGATACTTATGAAGGGAAGGATTTTTCCAAATTCTCTACTCGATCTATTAAGATTAAACTATTCAAACAAAACTGATCATGGTCTTCAATGGCCACCCAGTTCTCTCCGTTATAACATGAATAACCTATTCTGCGGCTATAAAGACAAAAATGACATATGGTATCACTCAGGTAATGAAATCTTTATTGTAAGGTAAGGAACACACTGCTTTTGATTATCTATGTTTGAATGAGTTGTAAACCAGGTTAGTATGCTAGTGAGTTAGTAAGCAGTATGCATGGCATCTGGGCACTGGCACAACCAGTGTACATATATTATTGGTCAAAAGAGAAAGACAAACTAATGTTCCAATGTCCTTTGCTTATAATATTTCTCTCAAATCCCTGCCATTGTAGTATTTTGGATGATTAAAAAGGTTGTTAATCTTTTTCTTTCAAACTAGTAGCTCCATAGAATCTACCTATTCTATGGTCTCTTAAAGGGGACCTATCATGCAAAATGCACTTTTTGATGTCTTTTCTACATAAATATGTGTCCCCGGTGTGTCAGGGAACTCACGCAGCGTCAGAAAATAAAACCCTCTCTCTTTTCCTCCGTACCCAAATCTCTAAAAACGGAGGTACAACGGAGCTGATCCAGATTTGCCTCCGATATGACGTAATATCAGAAATGTGGACCCACAGCACTATCAGAAAGTTGCTATCAGAAACAATGCCCGACTGTTTTGGACATAATATGGTCGGTGTTTACATTAGCATCGCTAACACTCAGAGCTAACCTGTACTGGAGAGCATGTGTGTGAGGACGCTGAATATAAAAAGAAACTCACCTTGTGGTATAACCGGCAAGAGAGAAAGCCTTTGAGCTCCATACTGTTTCAGAAATAAGTCAAAGATGAATCTTGATTGGGCCAAATTTGACCTCGAGTCACCCAAAACAATTCTGCTGGGTCTCCCCAGACCCGAACACCAAATTATACACTTTTCTTTTTAGAGACCTTCAGACTTGGCAACAATTGTCAAAATCAGTTTTGTAGTGTTTATATAGCTGTTGTGGAGGATATCATGAAGCCTTGTTCTGATACAAAAAACTAGAGCATAGTTATTATATAATTTTAACTTGAAACAGGGTCACGGGAGACCCAAACACAACATAAGGGTTAAAAAGCTTTATACCCCAAATCAGCACTTTTGAAACAGGAAGTGAAATAGAGGGATATGAGGCATGGCTAGAATGGGTGATCTGTTTGGTATTTTGAGCAAAACACTTCATAGACATGTTTTTTATATATTTTTATATATCTAAGACCTATGCTATTGCCTAAAAATAGCATGATAGGTGAACTTTAAATATTTTGCCTTGACCAAGACAAGAGCTCTTGATAGTCCATGTTATTTTTTGTTTATGATCGTTTAGACAAAAGGCTGTTCACTCCATGGTAGAGCTCAAGGCTACAATCATGTATTGACATTTGATTTATTAGATAAGACAGGGGTTCCCAGACTTTTCAGCTCACGACCCCCACTTTGGGAACCCCTGAGATAAGAGATAGCTTGCCAGAATGGGTGCAGTCTAATGATACATTACAGCGGTAAATATTGTTGATGAGGCTGCCACTCAAGTTAAATTGCACATTCCCTTCAACAACAAAGTCATCTTTGTTATTTGGTTTGCTGGTTCATAGGTTTGTCTGTTTGTAAGAAGGAGTGAAGAAAACCTACCAGGCTACTTTTCATGAAACTTGTTGGAAGTGTGAGGCATGTACCAAGGAAGAACCAAAACCATTTTAGAGCGGGGCAATGAACACATTATTATTCACTTATGGAAACGGCCTCATAGTCTATTTGCCAGCTCATAGAGTCCTATTATGAACCCAGAGATGTTGAGTACCCCAACATTTGATGATAGAAACGTATAGTACAGGTCCCCAGCACATATCACCTGCCGGTGCAATTTGCACAATTGGCATAAGTTGCATTAATTAGCATAGGCAGACAATATTTAAAAAATGGCTTTGCCGACCTGGACAATTGGAGTGGTTATTGAGGATGCTGAATACATTTCTGTCATTTTCAGGATCAAAAATGGCAATTTACCAGAAAGATGGCCATATTTGTACTCCCGGTGGGTATTTTGATACATTTTGGGTCGATTTAAAGTTTTAGGGGATTCAAAACGGCCATTTTGATCCTAAGGGCCTGTAGTTGGAGAGGACGTCTGGGTCTAGGTAGGGTTTTTTGAGAAGGGGTCAAATGACGGCAGTTTTAAGAACAGATGGAACATGACCAGCCTGGAGGGAGCAGTCGATGACTTGGGTGATCAGGGGACATGGATGTTGGATTCTACCAGGGCTGTGGGTAGAGCAGGGTTTGAGTTATAATCTGAGCTTTATGGGGGTCTTTAAAACTAACGTGTGCGCACGTACGCACGCACAAACACACACACACACACACAGCAGCAGCAGCCCTCTACTTGCTACAAACTTAAATATGAAAAGGTTAAACTACGCACACCACATAACACATCATCTCGGCTTGCGCAACACGCTCACAGTAATCTTCTTCTTTTTTTTATTTAACCTTTATTTAACCAGATAAAAACATTGAGATAAAATCTCATTTTCAATGCTGACCTGGCCAAGAAGGCAGCAACGTTACACATAACACAAACATATAAAATACAGAGAACATAACTAAGAAAACAAAAGACGAAAAAGCAGTCACTACATTGTGCACATTAGGACAGTAAGGTCCTAAAAACACTACTTATTACTGCAAGAGCAGCTGGTGGTGAGGACTTCAGACAACTTCAATTTAAAACATACTATTGAGACAAGTGCCCTCAGTTTTAGGCTTGATTGAAGGTCATTCCAAGACCAAGGACCATAATAAAAAAGACTCCTTTTTCCAGCCTCAGTCCGCACAGCAGGTACCTGGAACCGTATCCAGGCACTGGATCTGAGGTTGTCAGAGTCACAAACTGGGGCAAATCAGGCACATATGTAGAGTGGAAGCTTACCTAAAATGACTTTATACATTAATAAAAACCAATGCTGCATCCTACGCATAAGTGAGGACCATCAAGTTAGGCTACAGTATACAGTGTGCAATGATGAGTCCTATAGGGTGCATTTGATATATAACGCAGTGCAGCATGGTAGAGTGGGTCAAGTTTGGCCAAAACAGTGGGACAGGCAAATCTATAAATGGTATCACCGTAGTCCAGCTGGGACAGGAATAAGCCAGAGACCAACCTTTTACGGGATGAAATTGAAAAACAACATTTAAGTCTGAAAAGGAAGCCAAGAGTGAATTTCAATTTCTTTGTTAGAACTTCAATATGGTGTTTAAAGTTCAGATTACTGTCCAACCAAAAGCCCAGCTCAACAGAGACGCCATCAAGGGTGTCAATGGAGAGGCAAGAGGAGGACGCTGACTTGGGAGCAAAAAGCATTGCTTTGGTTTTCTTACTGTTCAATAGCAGTTTAGAATCAAGAAGCGCATGCTGCAGCGTGATAAAATCTGATTTTAAATTGGAAACGGCCATATCCAGAGAAGGAGCACATGAGTATACAATAGTGTCATCAGCATACATATGATAGGTAGAAAATTGCATCTGATTACAAATATTGTTTACATATAATAAAAAGAGTAAGGGCCCCAAAATAGAGCCCTGTGGAACTCCCTTCTCCAAGGTGACAGGGTCAGAGACAGTACTACCCAACCTGACGCATTGAGTACGGTCGGTTAGATAACTCTGAAACCAGCAAATGCCGTTATGACCGAAACGAGACACCAACATAACATTAGACAGAATGTGGTGATCTACAGTGTCAAATGCTTTGGCTAGGTCAATAAACAATGCAACACAAACTGATTTCTTATCCAAAGCAGCCTTAATATCGTCTAAGACTCTCAGACTGGCAGTCACAGTACTGTGCTTTGATCTGAATCCAGATTGCATAGGGTTAAGGATGTTGTGTGAATTTAAAAAAAGCTTTAGCTGAGTAGAAACTAGGGACTCAAGAATCTTTGATAACACAGAAAGATTTGAGATAGGACGATAGTTATTCAACTCCGTGGGATCACCAGCTTTCAAGAGGGGCGATACCAGAGCTTGCTTCCACAAGGCTGGCAGTGTGTGAGTGGACAGGGAGAGATTAAAAATATCAGTTACTGGTTGTGCTATAATCTGAGCTGCAATTTTTAAAAAGAACGGGTCGAGGCCGTCAGACTTTTTAGGATCAATTGAGTGCAAACCCTGTAAGACTTCAGAGACCGAGAAATAAGCGAAATCAAAAACAGGGGAGTTCATCTCTTGACTGTGGCTGTGAGTACGACCATTTAGAGAGTCATGACTTTGCTCATCAAAAATGTGACCAGCCTTTTTGAAGTGAGCATTAAAGGCATTAGACATACCATCTGAATCTGAAATAAAAGAATCACTGACCTTCAGTTTTTGTGGGAAACTAGAAACCTTCTTGTTCTGAAGTTATTTAATTGTTTTCCAGAACTTAGAATGGTCATTAAAACAATCAGTGGTTAAGCTCAGATAGTAATCAGCTTTAGCTTTTTTAATAAGGGCAGAACATTTATTTCTGAGGACACGAAAAAGAAGCCAGTCATCACTAGTGTTAGACTTTCTAGCTAAACACCATTGCTTATTTCGATCATGAATGAGATCAGATAGTTCTCTAGTAAACCATGGAGTGTTCCTATTCTTAACTCTGAATTTTTTAAGGGGGGCATGTCTATTAATAATCGATAAAAAGTGATCAATAAAAAATTGGACGGCAACATTGATAGATGGAATTAATGCTATGAAGTGCCATTTAACCTCCGCCAGATCGTGTAGGAAAGCCTGCTCAGAGAAGTGTTTGAAGCAGCGCCTGAGCACAATAAGGCCCTTGGCTTTGGGCAACTTAGTGCTCCTAACGCAAGCGATAGTGCAATGGTCACTGATATCATTAGGAAAAACACCAACAGACACATACTTATGAGCTGCATTTGTTAGAATGACATCTATAAGGGTATCGTTATTGGGTTTGGCAGGGTTTATTCTAGTGGGACTATCAATAAGCTGAGTTAAGTTCAAAGAATCACAAACCTGCTTAAACTGTGAAGATTTATCACTTAACCAGTCCCAATTTAAATCACCCAATAATATGATTTCAGAAGAAAACGTAGACAACAATTCAGTAAGGCTAGTAGTTGCATCCATGATGGCTGATGGAGGCCAATAACAGTGAGAGGAGCATTTGCTATAGTTATTTCGACTGCTAGCAACTCAAATTGCCTTGGAATTGAAATTGAGTGAAGGACAGAGCACTGTAGTTTCTCAGCAGTGTATATTGCAACACCACCAGCTCTGCCCTTACGATCCGCTCTGAATACATTATATCCATCAATGTGAATAACAGTGTCAGTGACAGATGGTTTTAACCAGGTTTCAGAAACGACAACAATATCAGGCTTAGCAACTAAAAACCAGGTCTTGTCATATATTGCGTAATAATTGATTGCGCACCTTGGAGGTGAAGTGCAGGCATATTGTCATTCAAGAGAGAATACAATGCGGGTAGAGGGTCATGGGTGCAAGTGGAAGGTTTCATCCTGCGGATGATGTCATCAACCTCTTGCTGAGAGATCTCCAGGAAGCAGCAGAGAGGCTGGAGAATCCCAGGCTGTGGGTCGACAGTAGACTCAGAAAGAGCGCAGGAGCTGGAGAGAAGAGAGTAAATGGTGTCGACTTTGGTCCTAAAGAACGTAATGGAGCTATTGCACAGCTCTTCTGTGGTATTGGTGTGTGAAAGAGTTTGTGGCTTGAGGAAATTATAAATAGTGGAGAAAAGCTGCTTGGAGTTTCACAGATGTTTATTGATGATGTCGGAGTAGAACTGTGACCGTGTTTTGTTGTGTGACTTTGAATAGGCGTTTTGATGTTCTCGATAATCTGTGAACAGTGAGTCCAAATGCCGCTCGAGTACACGCCCAGCTGCCTTCATGTTCTGTAGTTCTGAAGTGAACCAGGGGGCTGAGCTTGAGAAGAGTTCAGCCTCCTGACAGCCTGGTGGAAAAAAGTGTCCTTTAGTCGGATAGTATTCCACCTCAGGCTGCGGAACCTCCTCCCTGAAGGCAGGAGGGTGAAGAGGCAGGTGGAGGGATGGGTGGGGTCACCAACAATGCTGAGTGCTTTGCGGTTGAGGCGGGTGTTGTAGAGGTCCAGGAGTGATGGGAGTGAGGCACCGATGATCCTCTCAGCTGTGTTCACGACGCGCTGCAGGGTCTTGCGGTTGGATGCTGTGGAGCTTCTGAACCACATCGTGATGCAGCTGCTGAGGACGCTCTCGATGGCGCCTCGGTAGAAGGAGTGCCTGATGCTCCTGCTCTCTTCAGTTTGCTAACGAAGTAGAGGCGCTGCTGGGCTTTCTTGGTGATTGACGTGGTGTTGTTACTCCAGGAGAGGTCCCCTGTGATGTGCACCCCCAGGAATTTGGTGCTGCTCACCTGCTCCACAGCAGCACCACCGATGGTCAGTGGGTGGGGTGTTGGGTGTAGGTTCTCCTGGAGTCGACAACAATCTCCTTTGTTTTCTCCACATTGAGAAAGAGATTGTTGTCTATGCATGTGTGTGGGGAATATCCAGTAATTGTAATAACTCAGCTGCAGGGGGGCAGGAGGGGTGTCAACGTGGATGTTCAAACCCCCAAGTATGACAGATGTTGAACAGAGTGAAGTTAATTTATCTCTGAGATGAAGGCTGGATTTGGTTTGGGTGGTTGGTAAATGAGAAAAATATTCCTGGGGAAAATAAATTGTAGTTTGCAAAGCGAAAATACTACTAAGTAAATAATAATAATAATAATAGTATAACTATGTAGCAAAGTAGGTTGCTAGAGTGCAGAGAGAACTGAAATTGTCTCAGAGGGAGAAGCAGCAACAGACCGTGCGAGCGTCCTCACCAAACGTCTCCTACACAAAACTCACACTATCGCTCATTAGCTAAATCAGTAAATACTGACAATATATTTGATTCAAAACAATATCAAATGTTGGTCTTCTGTTTAGTTAACTTATGAAGTGATAAAGTATTATGCACTATTCTGACTCCAATAATAACATGTATCTTTATCTTGTAGGCCACATCTGACAACACGGTTTTACCAAATGGAATCGTCCAAGGACATGCCTACGCTGTCACAGGTGTGAAACAGGTGAAGGTTTTTAAATATTTTAACATCATTCTATCTATCCAGTATACATTATTTGGGCTCTGAATTTTGAAAGTGTTATGGTAATAAAGGCTTAAGTTGCAATATACGCTCAGATTCCCGGATGGGATTGCCTGCACACGGGTCGCACAATTGCGAGAACTGAGCTGCTAACGATGCTAACAATAGTGATAACCTGCATGAGGAAGTGGAGGGTAGGCGATGCTCCTGACACCGTGGGTTAGGAAGCTAATTACTAGCCAGTCAGACATGAAAGAAGGGGTTCACATGCGGGGCCGGATCAGCTATCAACACAAAAATCATGGAAGCCCTATTTACAACGAATACAGATGTCTTCCATATCAATACGTACATACAGTATGCTATATTAATGTGAATCTGAAAGTCATATACAGCACCTTCGGGTTGGCATCCATTCTGTACTCGTATGTGTTTACAGTTAAGTTTACAGTACATTTGAGTTTTATGGGACGAAAAATATTCATGTTTTCTCCGGTCATTGCTGGTCAGATTCTGAGCCGAGGGCAACCGGTAAACCTGGTGCGTTTGTGGAACCCCTGGTGCCATCGGGAGTGGATCGGAGACTGGAGTGACAAGTAAAAATGACACAGTGACTGTTTCACAGAGAAATTACTTTTATCTGTTGCTTCGGAGATAAAAGACTGAGATAATTGTTCAAGTCAATACATTCCAGACATGTTCATTTTAGCACAAAGGCAAATTACTAAGAGTGCTTTGCCAACAATCCATGTTATGATAATCACCTCTAAAGAGTTCAAACACACTTATTGATGCTTTTGATCAGAGCCATGAGAATCTTTCCTGCAACCATGTGCAGTTTATAATAACCTTTATAAACTGTTAGCAGTGATTAAAAGTAAAGCATGGCAATGGAAGCCAAGTTATGTCTTCTTTGATCATATCTCTAAGGCTTTTTTTTTTTTTTATTATTTAAGAATGTACATTATTTTATATCAGTTAATGAAAATATATGCTAGTGAGGGTGAGATATCCTGAACAATAGTGCCTAGTATGCCAATTGTTTAGCTTTTTCAAACTCAATGTAAACTTTTTAAATAGGGCTTTTAACTGCTGCTTTAAGTCTAAGCTAAAATACTGTTGCTCCTCGAAACCATCTACTCTTTGCCCATATTTGCAAAAGTGCGTCTGGTCAAGAAAACAACAACCTGCCAACCCTTATATGCTCTTGATCATGAGTTTGCCCACTTGTGCACAACAAATGTAATTGCCTTTTGCTGTGATATATTAAGAAAAAATCTATAATAATATTGCCTCTTCTCTTGGCTTCGTGAAAAAAAAGGTCTCCTTTGTGGCAGACCGTGAGTCCTCAAGATCGTGAAGTGTGTCTTTCTGTGGCTGATGATGGGGAGTTTTGGTAAGCATGCTGAAATCTACAGTTGACAAATGTTACACTCATTTCTAAAATAAGAAATGTGCATGCTGATGTATAGCTCACTTAGAGTAGAGCTGGCGACCCATATGGTGCTTGTGTAACCCCGGTGTAGTGTCCCCTCGGCAACAGATCACTCAGAGCTGGTGATTACTTCAGTTTAATTCTGCATTTCAGTGGACAGAACATAAAAAGGACATGTGGGCTGCGTTCCTTTTAAGAGATCCTCACACGCTATATCTTTTACAAAATGTTTGCATTCCTCACAAAAGAAATGTTCAGTTAACAACAAAACATCAGTGATTTTCCTAAGCAATGTGAAACATTCAACATAAACAAACTGGTATACAAAACTCACATACCTGCATTTCAGTGGACAGAACATAAAAAGGACACGTGAGCTGCGTTCTGTTGGGAAAATCCCGGGTTCGAAATTAAGCCTGGGACCATTCCCCGTGTTATACCCTCGGACTCCCCCTTTCAACTCTCGTCAATAAAAGGAACTGGAGGCCAAAAAATATCAATAAAATAACAAATGTGTAATATGTTGTGAAATACTCATACAAATACATTGTAGCAACTAAAACTAATTGTAGAACATTAGTACATTAAGTAGTTTGTATTTTGAAACTATAGTTTAACATATAATAGGTACAGTGTACGTAGATATGTACAATATGTAGGGTTCCTGAGGCCAATGTCGGTGTTCTTTTTTCATTAATGACCACCTCGCTGCACATTATCTAGCTTATTACATGGCTACATACTAAATAAACCAACAAATTGATTGAGAAATTAATTTAATGATTTAAAATTGATTGTTTTACATGTGCTAAGAAAAATAAGTGAGTTTCACGGCGTACCAACTACTGGAACTGGGGCGACAGCAACGTAACTTAAAAAGACGGCAGCACTGATGGAGGTTTTCTGTAACTGTCCAGGTCTGATCACATTTTCTTTTCCATTAACCAGTCTTTAAACACTGCCAGAGCCCATACGGTGTCCCTGTTAGTGTTCACTTCCTGTCTGTCTTCTTCTGCTGTTCCTGTTTAATTCCAGTCTTTCTTCTTCTGCTGTTCCCGTTATTGTTTTCTTCTACTGTTCCTGTTAGTGTTTACTTCCTCTCTGTCTGATTTATCTGAGGTCTAGGCGACAGGCTATCCATCATGAATCCAACGTTTAGTGCTCTCAACAAATATAAAAATGAATATTCTCAATGTATTCAATTATGATGGAGAAAACTAATGTTTGTTGTCCACAACTGACTTTTACCGGACTTCTTTCTGCGGATTGATATGACTGCACATAGTGACTTGATCTTCCTTAGCAACTGTTTGTTTTCCTTAGCAGCTGTGTGTTAACAAGAAATAACAAGCTCTGAAATGTCCAACTTGACCAATTAGAATTTAGTATTTGATTTAGCTGTGTAATAATCCTGATTGACATTGTAACTCTAGATTATAAATTGATTATATGTTCAGTAACATCTATAGAATATCTATGCAGATTGTATTTGGATGGCTTTCTTAAACTAGTTGAATTTTCTTTTTCTTTGATGGATCAAGTAAACAAACTAAAACAACAGTGAGTAATCAAAAGTGATCTCTGATGTCACCAGGATGACCCTGGAAGACTTCTGCAGGTTCTATAGTGATCTGGACATCTGCTGCCCGTCTCCCGCCTTCCTTGATGGAAATACTTCTTGCCACTGGAAGACCTCCCGCTGTGAGGGCCGATGGGTTGCAGGAACAACTGCCGGAGGATGCGCGAATAATAGTGGTAGGCTACTTAGAAAACTAATATTCAACTAATATACTATACTAAAAACTTAAATCACTTGCTAAAACAGCTATAGTCTTTTTGGTACCACTTTACAATAAGACTACCCTTATAAAGGATTCATAAAGGGTTTATAATTAGGTTATGAATTAGGTTGTAAACACTTTATTTATCATTAAGAACCATTTATAAACCAGTTCTAACACAGGCTCACTATTTGGCAAGATGACTAAGCCTTATATTGGCTACTTAGCGAGAATCAACTCAGTGAACAACAGATACCAAGGAAGCTGGCTGATGAAGAAGACGAAGTAAGCTAGGTAGCCAATATAAGACTTGGCAGTACAGATAAATGTGGGCTCACTATTTGGCAAGCAACCGGTCACAGTCACCCTGTTTATCTCATGTCTTATAAAAGCTTATTAATGACTTATAAACCTAATTAATAAATTAATTACAAACTATTCGTAAACCCTTTATAAGGGTAGTCTTATTGTAAAGTGGTACCGTCTTTTTTATTTAGACGATACAGAAACAGCTTAAGTTTTATGAAGTTTCATCCAATCACACGTTGTGAATAAGACCATTGTTGTGCCGTCTTTTTGGGTCCTGCTCAATTTTAATTTGACGAATAATTCCGGTGGTCAGATTGAATACAGCCCGCAGCTTCGGTCTTATAATATATTACTTATGGCCCACTAGCACTGTCAAACAGAATAAATCTTTAAAATGTAATCCCTCCTTTCACCGCATGGTGGCAGCACCTCTCTAAGGGGCCTTACAAATGCCAGAATTTAAGCCGATGGTGTTTGCGTTTGCCTTTTTCTGTTAAACACAACAGAGTCGAGAAAATAATTTTCCTGTGAGGGATTAATAAAGTATGTCTTCTTCTTAAAGACGCTGTATTTTGGTTTTGGTATTTCCTGGTTTGTTTTGGGTGGATCCGCTCTAAAACCCGGAGCGGACTTTTTGAATTGCCATTTTCTGGGCCTATGAACTGGATTGAATTTATGTTGGGGTTTTAACCAACTGGACTCTTTGATTAAGAGGATTGAACTGTATATATTGACTCCTTTCACCACACACATTGCACACACACTGATCTTTTATGTGTTACTTTCCCCCATGAAATATATCTGACGAAAATGGAAATTGATGTGTGATTTATTTTGTATTGCTTTTCAGTGATGGAGGAGATATTTCCTGAATTCATTAATTTGTGTGTGGTTTGACTGAAACATTTTCGTTTAATATTTTAGATTACTATTTGTCCGACTTGATGTTGACTGGCACCCCACTTTATTCAAAATAGGTCAAACCAGCTTCAAAGTCTGAGGTATTCCATATAATCTATTCAATGTTGTCTGACTCTCCAGATATGAATGGAAGGCAGAATTGTGTTTTTAGAGTTGTTCACGCCTGAGAGGCTTGTATTTGATTCCATTGCCATTTCAAAAATAAAGATAATCGTGACAATGAAAATAGTGATATTACAGTGTATTTGTACGTTACTTTCATGTTTAAAAATGGCCCCCGTCATATTCACACTTTCAAATCTGGCCCTCTTTGAAAAAGGTTTGGACACCTCTGACATAAGGAGATCATTTGGTTATAACTTTTTAAAATCTGTAATCTTTGCCTTCCAGACAGTTTCTGGACTAATCCGCAGTACCGGGTCAAGATTGAGGAAGTACTCAGTGAATGTTCTGGGAAACAGGGTGAGAAGAACATGCTGTTGTCTCTGATGCAAAAGCCTGACAAGAGGAACAGACGTCTGGTCCAAAATCTCGGCATTGGATTCTATGTATTTGAGGTAAATATCACTCATTGTTTTTGTCCCATTGCAGAGATCTTTATGATATATAATGCAAAGACATGTTACAACATTTTTAGAGATACTGACATTAAATGAAAGCAAACATAATACTGTTTTTTAGATTAAGCCATTATTTATTTTTCATTTAAAAAATCAGCAGTAATGTGACTCATGACACTACAAAGAAAACAACATTATAATCATACCTGTAATATAAACTTTGAGTACAGCTTACTTACTCACCAAGAGCCTGTTTTATTTTTTATTTTGGTACACCTCAAACTTGAAACTAATTTATTTTCCTCTGATTTCTTCGAAGGTGACTGAAGAAGTAAGTAACATTTTTATCCCAATCCTCATAGACAGTTAATGCCCGCCTACATTGTAAAGCTATAATATAAAACAATATTCTTTAACATTATTTATGACTGGTTTTACAGTACAAGTCACGTAGTGGAAAGTTCCCAGCCTCGTTCTTCAACAAGAACAGACCTGCCTACCAAACTACAAAATACGAAATGGCACGTGAGGTGATGGGGTTCCTGATGCTAAAGCCTGGCGAGTACCTGATCGTACCGTCCACCTTTAATCCCAATGAGACTGCCACCTTCATCCTGACCATCCTCTCCAAGGCAGAGACCCACGTCCAGTAAGCATTCTCAACTTAACTCTTCAAAAGCTTGTAAAGACATATATGCAACACAAAATGTGTTCCTGGTAAAAAGTAAACGGCTGTTCAACAGTGTTGGGGAAGTTACCCAAACACTGTTCAATCACTGGCATAGCAAGTTAAAACTACATTACTTCATTAGCCGCACAAATAATTTCTTAAAAATTCATTTATACAACTCCGAAGCCAAGAGAACAACTGATTATTGAGTACTCCATCACACCTATGGAGTACTAAAGGTTCTTTTTTACGCGGTGTTGTCGCACTTCTGGTTACCACCTCTTGCTGTTCTTGTTGACCAGAACTTTCCACAAGCAATGTCCTGATGTCTCGTCTTTCTTTTCAGTGAGAATTCGGGTGGCCATTACCACGAACAACAGGAAGTGATGGTGTGCAAGTTTTTTAAATACAGATGGATAGATAGATATATAGATGTTTTGTTACATGTTGTTTACTAGGTTGATAACATTGATATAATTTGAACATTATTGCATTGGTTCATCTCGAGCTGAAAGCACTCAATATATTGCAGGACAAAGGAACTGAAAATGAGGAGAACGACGAAAAGAAGAAACACTTTTTCCGTCAATACTCTGACAAGGTAATTGATGTAGACCCTTTGCAAAGAAAAGTTTCAGAGATTTTGTTGTCTTTTGTACTGCCTCCATTGTTGTGCTATGCTAACAGTTGTAGTGTCCGTACGAATTGAGATTGGAATCGTTCCGATCATCTTGCTCTTGTAAAAAGTACCATAAAGCCAAAAGCGATTTGGAAATGTCCTCCAATTTAAATCGTCTGCGCTTGCATTTTTACACTTGACTTTCCACTTGAGCTATGTCATTATGCTTTTTAGTGTTGTTTGGCTTTTCTTCCTTGGATCAGTCATTTAAGATTTGTTATACCAACCGAAAAATGTGGGCATGCATTAACTTCCGATTAATATAGAAGGTAACCGAAGTTATGACAGCCAACATGTGAGCAAAATACTGAATAAGTCCTTTCTTGTTCTCATTCCCAGTACGAAGAAGTGGATGCCGAGCAGCTCCAGAGGCTTCTAAATGAACAAATCCTGAAAGGTTTGAACTTTAAAACCCAGAGAGGCTTGACAACATATGATCTAAAACTATTACTAAACTAAATCAATTATTCAGTGAAGTGGCTGGATTTATTAACATTTAAAAGTGCTGGTTTTTTCTACTTTTATTTAGGAGACTTGAAATCAGGAGGCTTCAGCATTGATGCCTGTCGCGGCATGGTTGCTCTGATGGATGTATCCTCTAATGTCATTTTCATTGAGAATCATTGTGTAGAATTTGTTCTTGTTTCACACATATGAACAGATTTAAAGGTCAGGCTGAGACAGGAAACAATATCTAGTACAGTTATATACCTTAATGTTTGACTAGACGTCAGTCACTGGCAAACTCAATGGAGAGGAATTTGTTCGTCTCTGGAAGAAGGTCGTCGCGTACAAGGTAAAAGGAACTCAGTAAAGTTTAAAAATGTCACAGTAAAACAAAGCGGATTGTTGGATACCTAAAGGACATGACAGTATGAGTGTGCTCATTGCACCACCCATGAATGATTGGGTTAGGTTCTGTCATGATTTAGAGTTTGTGTTTTCTTACTGTGTTGTTTATAACTCACTGTTTTCTTTACCAGGACATTTTCTTCCGCACTGATGTTTCAAAGACGGGAACACTGTCATTGAGTGAGCTGAGGAATGCTATCATGGCGTCAGGTAGACAATCAGCCTATTCTTTTGTCTTCCATTGACAAAACATAAACTGAATTGTGTGACAATACAAGTGTGACAGTATCATGGCTTAGTGAAGTTGAAAACCATTTGCAACATGTAATGAAAACAACAGCCCTTAATTATGCAATAACCTAAACTCTGATCCTATTTTTTATGTCAGGAAAGAGGGCCAGCGATGACATGCTGAACTTGTTGGCTCTGCGCTACGGTGCCTCCTCTGGACACATCACCCTGGAGAGCTTCATCAGTATGGTGCTGCGCTTCGACTGCATGAGCCGTAAGTACAGATGGGTAACCGATGACAGTACACAAATCCAAAAAGTACCAGAATAATTGTATTGAAATGTTTTTATTGACTTTGAGTGTCTTTTTTGTGTAGTCAGCAAACAATTGCAATAGCCTCTTGCACACATAGTTTGCAGGATATTAATGGAAAGAATGTTCAGGCATAACAGGACATGTTACGTTTATTGTAACAATTCTCAATAACTTTCGGATGGTTTGCCATGAAATGTGTTATGGAAATGAAAGTTTATTAAAAGCTTTGGCAAAGGTCAAAAGTCAGTTCTCATGCATAGCCATTATCTGTCAATATTTTCCCTAAACAGTGCAAGCAGTAAACTTCTTTAACTAAGGATGAGTTATTTTGATGGCTCCTCGAATCCTACAACAAATTCCTAGCAAGACACCTGTGTCAACAATTTCTCTGACTATCTATATTGCTGGCCTTGCATTTCAGAAAATACTATGCAAGTCTTGAATCTTATCAGCTGTTGGCTTAATGTGGGTTTAAAGGAGCAGTCAGTAATAATTTGGTACCGCAAACAATCGTTGCTATCTAGCTAACGGCAATCGTCAATCTCGATGATGGTAAAGAAGCCATGTGCAATTCAAGACAACATTACACGGTCAAAATTCACTCACTGCAAGAGATGGTCGTATCCGGGTGACATTACGAACATCTATCATGGCGTTTTAATAGACATGTCTGACTCCCTCTACTTTCATTTACAGTTTGTGGAATACTGCAATAACAATTTGTGTCTTTCTCAATAGAAATCTTCAGCCAGTTGTCAAATGGAATGAACATGACTCTTCGTGAATCAGAGGTAATAAAGGTTATTCAGAGGTGTTTCTTCAAATGTGTTCAGGTTGTAATCATTCAACCCGGCACAGCTATTGACTTAAACAAAAGGAAGGACATTTGTTTTTGGCAAAAGAAAAATCAGTTTCAATACCATTCCCCTAATATGTTGTTCTAGAAAATATGGCATTCTTGTACTACATTTTTACTTTTCTGTGATGGAATGCAATACAATAATATCCCTCTATAATTTGCAGTGGATGTACGTTTCGATGTACTCTTAAGCTGACAAGAAGATGTCTGCTGCTTTGGAAATATAGCAGCAGAAAATAGAAAAGGTGTTCTCCTGCAACTGAGTTCTTACATGGTATGACATAACAGGGCACTTACTTTTACATTTTAAATCCGCCCATTTTAGGATTAGCCATGAGTTAGGCAGTGTCGGTTGTAATTCTAACTAGGGTTACACATTTGTTAAAAATACTATTTACAACTGAAAAAACAGTTTTCAAGTCAATTGTATTACAGTTGTTGAGCAGAAAAGCACAGCTTTGTCAAAGCAGTATCACAAAAAATGTATCAAATCGAACATGATGTGTATTGTTGCATCCCTTTTAAATGTGATAAGAATAACAGTGATTTTAAAATATAACCTATTCAATCGTTTTTCTATATGCAAGTCTCTCTGGTATACTTCATTTGTTGTTTTTAGGTTACTGCATTTTGTATTAAACTGACGTGGGATTTTATTATGTGTTTTTAGCCATGCTAGAGCTGAGGCATGTACGACGAAGCCGGTTCAAGTTTAGTTAAGTGTTTTTGTCTTTGTCTAGTGATTCTCCCCTTTATTTTTTGATTAGTAACCTTCCCTCTCGTTTCAGATACTCTGACCTCCCTTCCTTGTGTGTCTCCCACTCCTGTGATTGTCGACCCCGCCCCTGATTGTTTCCACCTGTTCCCCATTACCTGGTGTATTTATTGTCCTCGTCTCCCTTTGTCCTGTGCCAGTTCGTTTCGTTTCTTGTGACAATCTACCAGCGTATCATGCCAGGAATACTCCCAAGCAGAGCTTTGAGCCACATCTTGTCTGAGTATTTTGTTATTCATGCTCCTAGTGTTTTTCCTCATTGAAGTGATTTTGTTTTGTTAGTGTTTTTCCTCATTAAGAGTGACTTTGTTTTGATACTGTTTTTCCTCGTTAAGAGTAATTTAGTTTTTTATACCACTGTAGTTGAGCTTTGGTTTGAATAAACCTTTTTTTGTTAAAACCTGTGTGAGTCGTGCATTTGAGTTCAAACCCGTTTATTCAGTCGTAACACTCCCTGAATGAGTTGTATTCACCTTGGTGATCCTTTACCTTTACATCTAGCCCCACCATCTGGACATTATTTTAATTGTCCAACATAATAACTAACTTTTGTAAATCCAAAATAACTATTGAATTCGAAATGCTGAATGTTGGCTAAAATGCTAAACGATAATGGTAACTATGGTAAACGTTAAATATCAGTATATAAGCATCAACATTGGGGCGTTATTGGCAGGCTGACATTAGCAATTAGCTCAAAGCACCGCTGTGCACAAACACAGCCTCAGACTGGTGCTAGCATGGCGCTAGACTCAGTATTGTTAAGTCTATAAGCTAATCCTTATGGTGGGATACTTATACATTTTTGGTGGGTATAGACTTTGTACTTTAAAAATAAAGACATTTTCAAACAGTTGTGGATAACTATTTATTTCACACCTTATAAAATGCCTTACAGATTTCCTTAAAGGGGACCTATCATGCAAAATGCACTTTTGTACGTCTTTTATACATGAATATGTGTCCCCGGTGTTCCAGGGAACTCACCAAGTGTCAGAAAACACAACCCTCTCTATTTTCCTCCATACCCAAATCTCTAAAAAAGGGGCTGCACGGATCTGATAAAAACTGATCCAGATTTGAACACTGTCCTGACGTCAGGACGGTGGCGCTACGGCTATTGGGCCAACTCCACCAATCAGGAGGAGACAGCCACGGCCATTGCCGTTCGAAAGCGCTGGAGACGCTGTAGTACATATGCCAGGCCTGTAAGTGGTGCTGTAATCTGCCACAAAAGCAGCGAAGAAGACTTGGTTACCATGGTTACCCTTCTGTTTATTCTCCGCTGTGGCTTTCTTTCTCCCTCCCCGAGGCAAGCGTTTGCTCCCGCTGCAATGCAATCCCTCCCCGTCGAGGCAAGCACTGTAATTCTCTCCGGTTAGTCCACCAGCAGATGACAAACACCCACCTCTCCGCCTCTTCCAAGGAACGAGGGGACCGTGCGGCAGAGTTTCAGTTTCAGTTTGTTTCGCCGGTCAAGATGTCCGTTAAAGTTTAAATCTTCCGGACAAAATTAGAAAAGTGCCGGTCAAAGGTCTTCTTTGTTATTTATTGAGCTTTAAAACAAATGAATAACGACTCTATATAATAAAACACGGAGGACGGAGATCTCTTTTTCTCCCCCTCTTCTGACAGCCCAGCAGCTGATCAGAGCACGTCTCACCTCTCCTGCAGGGGCCGTGGTCAGCTGAATCAGACCCGTAGACAGCAAACAGCACATAGAGCGAAATGAGGCATGGCTAAAATGCATGATCTGTTTGGTATTTTGAAAACAGAAACGTATAAATATACCTTATATGTATGGCCCTACAATATATCATTTAAATATAGCATGATAGGTTTCCTTTAAACAACAGCAAAGGTTTTAAGAAATAGGACTATACTGACAAATGACATCTTATCCTTTCATTGTCTTTCCTTAAAACGAGCCACCTCGCAATTGTATGCACATTATTTATTCAGCCGTTTGCTGTTTAATCTGATGGGAAATATATCATTCAAAAGAGAGAAAAAAGCTTTGAAAACTAGGCGAAGCTCAATACAGGCGATGACGTGACCTGTGCGCGTCCCCGCGAACAGGTCTACGGCATAACACCAAGCCCCCAGGAAGTGCGCCGGACTCAGATGAAAATATTCGTGCTGGCCAAACGGCGGTACTACACTTCCTTTTGGTTGCCAGGCCCGGAAACACTTTTTCCCATTGACTTACATGGGGAAAGAGTGGTCTGTAAATCGTTGGATAATTTTTTTTAAACTAAATAAACTACCCAGTATGAACACTTGTATAGCCCTTATTAAAAACATTCGTTCCTCAAGTTGTAAAAATGTGCTAATAACGTTATTCTGAGAGTTATTTCCCTCTGCATTATGAACGCGCATCTAACCCACGGGACCGCGCCGCCCGGCACGTTCATGTTACGTGTTCAGCACTACATGCGTTTATCTTTACCCATGGATGTACAATAAGAACGGACCCATATCGCCTTACTGCCAGCCCACGGAACTGTAATAATGGATATATTGCACATGTTTGCTGTAATTCATCATTTGTAAAATATTATACTACAAGATTAAATCTTGTACCGTAAATGTTGTATTAAATAAAGTTAATATTACCGACGTAGATTAACGTCCCTGTAGCTTCTTATTGCACTAAGAAGCTTATTGCACTGTATATATATACATATATATATATATATATATATATATATATACAGTGCAATAATTCTTTCATGCTAAATGAAGCTCTGTTGCTTGGATATCACTAGATCCTGTTACAGCGTAATATAAAAGTACATAACGATTGATGTGTAAATTAGCATAATTACTAGCTAACCGCTAGCTGCTAACTGCCGCCTCGTTAATATCAAATCTATCATAATAACAAACCATTACCATGCTGTCATGAACGTGCAGTGCTGTTACGTGTACGCAAATTGACGTGCTTGATGTGAACGAGCATTTTGGGGGGCATGGTTAAAGTTGCGCATGCGCTATGAGCGCACATACGGGTACTTCTCAGGCATGCCGGGTAATCTGTGACGTTTCGCTCTCTCAAAAGTTGGGCCATTTTATCATCATGCGCGAATGAGCAACTCTCATAGGAATGAATGAGGCCCCGCCTCCCATGCTGTATGCAGTTCTTATTATACATCCATGCATAACACCGGCATGGTTTACTCACTGCCTCCTCCTCACGGCACTTTCGATCATCCGATTGCTGTTTCCAAAGCAGAGCTGAAATCCACACGAATCCTGTGCTTGTCCCTCGAAGCTTTTATCCACAGTTTGCGGAGTCTTTTGACTAATGTGGTGGCGTTTTAATCCTTGTCTACAATTTAATAGCCACCTCTGTCGGGGTTGTGGGTTCTGACGCGCCTCTCTTTGTTTCCAAACAATTCAGCGGAGATCGTAGTTGAATCAGATGAGCTTTATTCATTGATCCACACGGCATATACAGGAGGACACATTTCTTCGCTTCATAGTAACTAAACGTTTCAGTCTCCAACAGAACAAAAAGAACACGGTCAAAATACTTTTCCGTTTCCCCATCAGCTGTGTCCTATCAACCTACCATATATAGGCATATAGCCATGCACGTGATACTGACACACATATAACAAATAATAAGTGAGCCTTAAATTAATACATTTTAAACCATAGTATGACTCACAAAAATACCTTTAGATGGTGAGTTTAATCTAATTTATATTATTATCAAGCCTAACTATCAAACAATAATAACTCAATGAAAATGGCTCTAACACTCATATTACATTGTTATTATGACAATATTTGATATCAAGCAGAAAAATAAAGACAAACATCAAGCTTTATCTCAGCAAGACATAATGCAGACAAAGTAACAGTAAACAAAGTGAAAAATTGATAGTGACTGTCACGATCTGTCTGTGTTGTGTCTTGTCTTGTCTTTTTCTGTCTCTGGTTTCCTGTTTTGTTTTGAAATGTTTTCCTCCTTGTGTCTTGTCTGATCCTACTCCTTGTGTTTGCCTTCCCGTCGTTAGTTTCCCTGGTGTGTCTGATTGTGCCTCATTGTGTTCACCTGTTGCCCTTGTGTTTCTGCCTACCCTGTCCAGCTGTGTCTTGTCCTGTGATTACCCTTCTGTGTATTTAGTCTTGTCTTCCCCTGTGCTCCATGTCTGTTCGTCGTCATTTCATGTCCCTGCTACCTGTCGTCTATGTTGTCCATGTCTCCTGCCTGTTCCCGTCTGTAAGTTTGTTCCTGTCTGTCGTGTTCCCCGGTTTTGTTTCTGTTTGTTTCTTGTTTTTTCATGCCTTCAGCTTTTGATAATAAAGCCCGCTTTTTGTTAACAAACCTTTTTGTATTTTTTTAACTGCACTTGGGTCCTATTTCCCCAAACC